GGATGCAGTTTGGAGCAAACTGGGAGGCTCAGGAGAGGTCTGTTCTGATAGCAGACACCAGGATAAAGCTGCTGAGGGGACCCGAGACCAAACGTGCTGCGGCAGCAGACGCAGCCGTGGCGGGACGGAGGAGCAGCTGCCGCTTTTCTGCGAGGAATAACAGGTGACAGGGGCAAGAAACACATTTAATCAAATGCCCCTCCAGATGTCGATGGAAAAATATTGCGCATTTGTGAATTTCGGCTCAGGCGTACTCAAGACAAGTGATCTGGTACGCTAGCTGGCGCCGACTTACGAGACCCGCTAGCCAGCTCCTTCCTCTACCCGCAACGTGGGTAGCTTCGGAATAAATAAAGATATTAAATTGTTTATGAAGTCGTGCATACGTACAGAAACCAAACCGAGAGGATGGGCGAGCGAACGGCGTGTGTTTCGAAGTGGGGTTGTTGCTGCCTACTTTTCAACGTGGCACTGCGGCCATTCCACGTAACAAATGACCCCTCTCATCCAAATCAGAGAAATGCAAATGCGTGTTCTAGCTTTTAATTTCAAGTGAAAACGCTCGGCAAGCCATTGGGTCCCTCGTCTCCTCCTCGGGGTCACTCACAGCAGCGACCGCCTCTGCCGGCTTGGGGCTTACAATGGTCACCATGAGCGTCCCTTGGTCTAGAATAACTGCAAAGGAAGCTGCCCAACAGCTTCTAAGTGCATTTATAATTAATATAAAAAGTGTTTGAGCGAGGAAACAACCGGCACTTTGCTCCCGCGTGCTCCTTCCCTGCGTTTCAGGGTACCATTGGTCACCCCGCATCCTACAGCTACATTCCTGCTTCCCCCGCTACAAAGAGCACAGGAACGTTATGAGCTGTTTAAGTGCCAGCTACAATTTGCAGCCTTGTAGAAGAAGTCCCGAGACACCGGAAAGCGTCTGTGTCAGTGCTCTGACTGAAGGTCAACTAGCATGTGCAGATTTTGTCTCTGATGACTTCTTTGAAACTCTGTGGAAGGGCCTAAAATCTTCCCACTTCCTAAGAAGACGTGCAACAAACCTGCCATTATTCACTGCTACCACTGCTACCGTATGCGGCCCGGCAAGCCTGTAGCCCAGCCTGTATGGCTGCATATACACTGCAAATGCATCATCGCCTACAGACAGACAGAGACTCAGTCTTCATCACTGAAGTCATTACATATATACGGCTGATCCAAGACATTTAAGACGAGGATTAGTAGAAGATACACTTCCTCCTCTTAAAGGATCAAAGCCTTTTTTTTACCCTTAAAAAAACATATCTCTCTATAGAATACATTTGGGGACCCCTTTAAAGCAGTCCCAAGAGGAAAACCCCACAGGGAAGTAGATCCAATCCCCAAATTTAAACTCTAAACAGGTAACATCGCGGGGCGCCCCACAGGGGACCGTAGAGAGGCCGCAGAGATGCCTTCGCTGGGGCCCCCACAGGGGCCCCTTGGGGAGCCCTGGCAGGCTGTCCCGGAAGAAGTACCACAGGGGGCCCTAGAGGGGCCCGCAGCGCTGGACGTCTTCCTTGAGGGCCTCGAAGTGGTCAACGACCCCTTCTATCCTGGCGTTACTGTGACCGGAACGCCTTGCCAGCTGCCGCAGCCTCTTCAGTCCCTTCAAATCTAGGTCGGCCGCCACGTCTTGCGCTCGGTGAACTGCAATGTACACACACCGAGAGCAAAAGGAGCAGCAGCAGCAACAGCAGCAGTACGAGCAGCCGAAATGTGATGTATGCGTACACTGGTAAACAAACGAGACCGCTGAAGCAGCGCCAGCAGCAGCGGCTGCACCAGCAATGCCATCCGCAGCAGCAACATAAGCAACAGCAATTGTAGTAGTATCAAAAACAGCAACAGCGGCCACAGCAGTCTCAGCAGTGACGGGATTGCTATAAAGGGGCATACCTAGTTTGGCCCACGCCTTGCTGTCGGCAATCTGGCAACCCTCAAATGCCTCAAGGACCT